GGTTGCTGTGAGCTGTAATGCCATGGCACTCTACCCAGGGGGACAGCTTGAGGCTCTGTCTCAAAAAAAAAAAAATAGGGATGAAGATAGTACTTACCTCTAAGGATGTTGTGAAGAGTAAATAATCAAAAAGCTTGGCATACAGTAAGCTATCAGATAATAGGTTATACGTTGGCCAGGTACTGTAGCTCATGCCTGTAATCCCTGTGCTCTGGGAGGCTGAGGCAGGTGGACTACTTGAGCTCAGGAGCTCGAGACCAGCCTGAGCAAGAGCAAGACCCCATCTCTAATAATAGCTGGGCATTATGGGGTAGGTACCTCTAATCCCATTCACTCAAGAGGCTGAGGCAAGAGGATTGCTTGAGCCCAAGAGTTTGAGGTTGCTGTGAGCTATGAACATCACAGCACTCTATTGAGAGCAACAAAGTAAGACTCTGTCTCAAAAAAAAAGAGAGAGAGAAAGAAAGAAAATGTTAGATGCTATTATTTAATAAAGCTGGTGGGGGTGTGTCTCAGGGGGTGGTATGACGGAATGAACAGGAGGAGGGATGTTAGTGAAATGGGAAGAAAGAGTGTGGCAGGCAGATGGGTGTATTAGGCACTGCTTTTTGGAGTTCACCCTCCGGTCTTGGTCTAAGACAGTTGCACAACACCATTGGAAGCAAACAGAAGAAAGCATTCTTCCACCATGAGGCTCTTGGCTATTCCCCCATATAGCCCTCTACCAACCAGACCCCTCCGTACTTACATATTTCCAGCCCAGCGTAGTTTTGCAGTTTTCACAGTAAATGTCTGCAACTGCATGCAGGCCTGTGAGCAGCACACGCTCTTCTGCAGGGCCACAGCCCACATTAACTCTGTGTCAGGGACAGAAAAGGAGAGTGGGTAGTTAGTCGCCTGCACATCAGTCATTCAAGCTGAGCTTCCAGCAAAAACTAACTAGGCAAGGCTGCCCCGAGGGAAGCCGACACTGAGGAGAGGACGGTCTAAAACTGAAATGAATAACAACCCCCAAAAGGTTGGGACGAAATGGAAATGTCTCAGTTGGAATGAATTTCAGATCTGCAAGTTCTGATTCAGTGGGTCTACAAAAATAGTTTCTATGGTGGAGATTTCGCTTAGAACTTAACTGTTCAAACAAGTATTTTTAATCTTGCGATTTAAGGAGACAAACTGACAACCACACTGTGAAGTCTCCGCCATGAGCACGGGTCCTCAAGGCTAACTGAGGACAGAATAAAAAGGTGAAGCTGTCCCATGTGACCGCACAGTCTGGTTCCGATCACCAGGAGGAGTGAGTCCCCAGCGTTGGGACTCATAGAGCACCTAACTCAAGCTGAACACACTAGGTTTCCATTTCTACAGTTCCTTGGGCTTGTGTGAGCTTTGCCTTCCGTTCCCAGGTTTTAAATCCTGTGCCCTTGACAACCGAGGGCTGTGCATACTCTGCATCTTCCGTGGGCCTTGTCTCCCTGCCATGTTCGCTTCAGCAACAACATACCTCAGATCTCATTAGGAAACCCCATGTTAAGGCTCTCAAGGCTCTCAGGAGCTCTTCAGCTCTTCCCTGTGGCACTGCAGCCCTCTGATGTGCACACTGGGCGTAGTGTAGGAAATATTATTTTTAGCAAGGGATGCTACCCCCAGAATTCCCCAAAGGCAACTGATTCCCAATTATGGACAGTAATGCTCCATGAGGTTTTAATGTGGCAGAGAAAGCAGGGTCCATGGCTTAATGAGCATTAAGGGTTGCTTTCTTCCCCGTCCCTCGAAATTTACACCACGCCTGGGAGGTACCGTGCAGGGACACTCACACTGAGTTAAAGAGGTACGCTCGTCCTTGACTTCCTTGGAACGACTGAAACGTAAGAAAACAAATCGATAGTTAGATATCCATTTCACCCACCCCTTCGGGTAACCAACCCAAATCACAACAAGCGTGACCTTCCGGGATTGACACTGCAAAAGGGAGCACAGAGTCCAGCTGGCAGATGGCACGGAGGAGGCGAAGGCAGAATAAACAGAGCTACAAAGCTCCAACCAGCCCACACTTGGATTGTTTTCACCAGCCCAGATGAGAAGAGAAGAAAGAAAAAAAAAGAAAACCCAAGCCCCACTATGTGGTTAAAACCTGCTTTCCTTCTGATATTGTTAGAGATGATTGATCCACATTGGCCTTTCCTGGTCCCACCTGATTTCAGCCATCTGTACTGGCCACAGCTTTCCCAGGCTGGCTCAGGCAAGGAGACCAGTGTGAGCACTTTTGCAAGAATAAACTATCAACCCCACACTTACCACTTGTCTTGCCTCCTGGTAGACCCTAAGAGTTACCAGTTCCTAAAGGGGAATGTGGAAGCCCTTGTTGTGAGGCGCAAGTAATTTGATGTCTACAGCACAGAAACGCTCATTAGGCTGCAATCCCATTTTAACCTCTAGCTTAAATATGAGCTTCTTTCTTCCAGCCGGAGGGTGGCAGGGAACTGTAGAAACAGGAGCCAGAGCCTGCCATGTAATTTGGCGTCTACTTCCATTAACACAGGCCCTGTCCGTGTTTTCCTCCTCTGGTTACACTGAGATGCCTGCCTGACATGTGCCAGCCGTGTTCCGCATTGCCGCTTGCATTTTTAATGTGGTCTGACAATTGTATCCTGAATTTAACATCCTAGTCTGCTCTGAAAACCCTTCGAAAAACCAACAAGGGACTCTCCCATGACCTCTGTTATTCAGTGGCTGAAGAAATCTGGGAGTGACTGGTTAACAGATGAGCAGAGGGTAGGACACAGATCACTACCCACAGGAAAGTCATTCTGCCAGATGAGCAGGACTTCAGGGGTCAGTGCCGCTAGCCAGGGAGGAAGGCAAAACTCTTCACTTGTGGAAAAACTGCCTCTGGGACACTGGATTCTTGGTGGCCTCCAAGAAGATTCAAGCACACAGAAGCCTTTACTCCCTGGTGCAACCGCAAGGAGCAAACAGATGTTCTGGGCAGCTGCTGCCAGACCGAAACCAGCCCTTTCCTTTATTGAGCCTTATGACATCTGTGGGGTAACAGTAGCTCCCAGGCTACAACTGCAGCTATGCATGTCAGAGCCTTGAAACCTGGATGTCCATGTCAAGTGTCTGGATGAGACAATGTGCCAGGGACACAGGTGTGGATATGGACAAACTATTAGTTCAATCTTGGAGCACAAAGATACCACAGGGCTTCAGGACGGGCTGTTAGCCCTGCCCCCAGCATCTTCTCTTGCTACTTTGCTCTTGTCAGGCCATTTTTACATTTCACCGACTTTGCCCACACTGTCCCCTCTGATGGGAGGCTCTTCACCTGACTAGTCCTAAGCCTCTGCTCAGCTCCCCTGTCCTAGACCTCCCCAGAAGGAAGCACCCAATGACATCCATGTTGTGGATCCTTTGTGTTCCCTGTGTTTTCCTTTTTCTTAGCACCTAGAAGCCTGGATTTAAATCACCTGTTTGTTTATAATGTCCTCACTAGGTTGTGAGATACCTGAAC